CCCCCCCCCTCCCTCATACCGGACTGGGCGGTGCTGCGGCACGACCTTCACCGAGTGCCGGCCGGCGCTGGCGTGCCCCGCGTCGCCCCGCCCCGCGCCGCCCCGTACCGCCCGGCCAAGACAAGCTGATAATTGTACCAGGAAACAGCTGGCCGCGCGACGCAGCACCAGCAGGCCAGGCATCATCGGGAACAATGCCGGGCAGCAGCGCTCTCATGAACTGCCTACGCTTGACGCGGGACGGGCTGAGTGGAGGAGTGGAGTTCGCAAAACACTCTTTTTCTGTTTGGAAACATTTTCACGGGCCGACGCGTCGCATCGGCGTTTCCCCGTGTGCGTTATTTTAAACGCGCGAGAAGCGCGTCCCCGTCTAATGATTCTGTCGTGTCGGACGGCGTAGCGTGGCGTGGCATGGCGTGGCCGCACGGTAGGTAGGCAGTGGCAGGTGGCAGGCGCCCCTGTGACGCGAGCTTCGGTTATTCGTTATGCATATTTCGGGCGCCATGCGCCTTTCCCCCTCGCCCCTCTTCCCCGTCCCCGTTTACGCCGGGCATTTCACCCGCCCTACTCCCCACCATCAAAATAATTGATTTTTAAAAATAAAATGCCAGGGCGCATTCTCATCAACCGATGACATTACCCTCGGTGGCGCGCGTAAAAAAACGTTTTCGAGCAGTGTACAGTAAACGTTTAACCCGAAAGCATATTGTGAAGACGGACGCGTGGGAGAGAGAGTTTCGAGTCGTTTCCTTTCCTCGCTTTTACTTCCTTTTATTTTTTCGTTGCCTTTTAGACTTGCCCACGACACAACACAGCAGAATGCGTCAGGGATTGATACTGCTACTCGCGCCGGGGAGTTTCCACGCGCGGCCTTCCCCCTCCCCCGGCCGGCCTGACCTAGCCCCCGCGCTTCACGCGACGAGTCCGCCTCGGCTCGGCTGGCAGAGGGCAAACGCGCAAACGGTGTAATCGGAATCACCCCTTCCTCCTGTAAGTATGGGGAAGGGGGGGGGGGAGAAAGAAGGGATTGAGCGCTCGCTCGCGCGCTCTCTCACACACACTGGCATGTTTCGCTGACAAGCGATCGTTGCAGACTGCCTCGTCCGGTCTTTCCTTCTCTTTTGCTGTACCTCATTGCGCGTTTGAAACAACGATGATGGGATCGGATCGGATGCGATCGGATGGGTATCTTTTACTTTCTCGAAAGGCACGAAAGCCATTAACACCCAAAGAAGGGTGTTGATTCCTACCTTCCTCTTTGTTTTGTTTTTTCCTCGATGTGGCGAGAGGCCAGTGTAATATATTCGATAAAAAATAAACGGCCAATAAATTGATTACGATAGAGCCATTATGTATAGAGGTGGAGGTGGAGGTGTGACAACTGAGATGGGGGG